TATAGAGAAGCTGCAAATTATAAATTAAGTTTTTACAATATTTTTTTTTACAATTATGCCAAATGTCCATCTTATGATAGTTTATGGATGATAATAACCCCTGGTAATGAGATGATCGAGTTACAGCATAGCCTCATAGGTAAAGGTGTAGGCTACACAGCAGCGACCCCGATACATTGCAGCGGCACGAGACGCAACTCAGCAGAACGTGAGCATTGACGTCAACGGATGCAATCGGAGCTCTGCAATATACCTTTATTTCTGCAATATGCTTTTATTTAATATTTATATAGTAATTTTTATATTATAATAAAGTGTTTTAAATTACTTCTGGCTTTTTTGGGTCCTTCGGCTGCTTACAACTTAATTATCGCTACCATGCTATTTTGGCTAATTTGTTTTGTGTAGTTAGTTAATTGTATAAACTGTTCTTTTTTTTTAAAGTCCCGCTGGATTGCTTGATGGTTCTTCTCAAGACAAAGGTATTTCCTGAACCAGTAGTAAACTAAACATATATAGACAGGCTATGAGGAAGCCTGTTTTTAGAAGCGGAATTTTGACAGGATGTAACGGTAGCTTAGATGATTGAAATGGTCGAGGACAGCGATGTTTGCAGGGATGAAACTGCTATTTGTGAGAATTGTTCTGTTCGCGTGTGCAATACGTCAATTAGCTTTAATTTTGTATAACTTTAACTAAAAGGTCCATTTCTTTTTACCCGACTGCGTGACAGCAACGACAGTGTTACGCTTTTCACACATATCGGGTGTATATGTGGGAATCTTTATCCCTTAGAAGCATCCCATCGGTTGGATAGATTTGAATTAATGCGGTGTATGCTTGGAGCATTCCTTGTGGGAGGCCTATGTTCAGTAGTGGACTTGTGAAGAGCTGTAATGATGATGATGATGATGATGATCGTGTACGCTTCGTCTAAACCATGCGATGGTTACAAGCTAGGTTTTTATAAAACGAAAATATCGGAAGAAACGAAAAAAATTGCATCGCATTTTCGGTGGCATATCACGAAATAGGTATTTAAAATTTCATAAAAAAATATTATTGTATTATTGGTATTTTTTTTTTATTGACAAAAATGCGTCTTTTGCATCGCCCTACATCTCTGGACAGAGAAACATTATTTTGAGATGACATGATGACTGCTGACAAATGCAGTTTCATTCATTAATAATGTCCTTCTGACTACTAAGTCTTACTATCGTGACCGTGACTGCTGATCATGAACTCCCAGGTTTAAATCCCAAGTTGTGAAAATCACTTATTGAGGTTTTCTATCAAGAAATTCTCAGAAGCAACCCAGAGTGAGGAACTTGACGGTGTTCCACTTCCGTGCAAAAGGCACGTAAAGCCGTTGGTCCTGCGTCTGATCTCTCTCCGGTCCTGTTGGATTATCATCCCATCGGACTTTCAGAATGAAGGACTCTATGCCTTTACAGTGCACCTGTGCTTGTGCGTACACTCGTGCGCTATCATCCTGTCTTGGGCAGATGCCTATAGGCATCTGCCTACTCTCCGTTGATACTGGCCACATCGACCGATTTAAAAAAAAAAAGTATTTAAGGCAACAAACAGTCGTGTAAAAAGATGAAGGCCTATAGTGCTTTTAATTAAACTTTTACATTTTAAACTAATTGAGCCACTTTTAGGACTAAAGGACATTATAAATTTATTTAATTATTAATACACGTAAGTTCTAAGATGAGGTAACTAGCTAACTTTGGTGTAAGGAAAAGAGAGAAGAAAAACCTATACTAAAAATCTTATTATTATAACACTGACGAATTAAATTCAGGTTCAGTTAGCGAACTGAGTGCTGCAATATTTTCAGTGATGGGTAACTTGATTATTCACAAGCTAAACTTTGACAGAGAGCGGATTTAAACTTTGATACTGATGTATTAAATTAATCAATTATTATAAAAATATATAAACATATAAATTACTTCGCAACCTTCCGCTAAAAGCCGCCGTAGAGTCTACATTACCTGAGGATGCCTCGTGTAGAGGCGAAATAGTGTCGTATTATCGTCGATGGTGTGTCTTATCTGGAATAGTGGTGTTGGAAGTAGTGGTGCCGGGAGTAGTAGTGCTGGGAGTAGTGGTGCTGGGACTAGTGGTGACGGAGTTAGTGCATGCAATTGAGGGAGGGCGGGAGGTGCTCTTCAATCCAGGTAAGACACATCATTGTATTTATTTAGCGGAAGGTTGTGAAGTAATTTATATGTTTATATAGTTTTATTATAATGGATTTCGGCAAAGTAACGCCTGATTCTATCAAATCAATTATTAATCAATTTATGTCTAAAAATTATTTTTTTATTGTTATTATTATATACTCCTGGTCAATTTTAGCCGCGGAGATCTTCTCCATCATAGAATACTTTATATGCTAATAAATCATAGCGTCTAAAGAATTCGCGCAAAAACAAATGCACTTTATCGTCCTTGCCTATCCATCCCCGCTTTGCTTATGTTATCCCCAGTGCAGTTGTGTAACTCTAGTGGGAATCATGATTTGCTTGGTTTTGGCATCTAACGTTTGTTTTTTTTATATTTTAAAATATCTTCTTTATATTAATATCATATATTTAAGTTACAACATATTATCATAAAAACGTAACGTAGTTACGCAGTTACGCAGTGATTTCCAAAGGCAAACGATACCAACCAGTGTTACATAGTCTTACGGTAAGACTCTTACCGCCGTACGTGGGCTCGGATGCTGTCAGAGATGACCGATGAATGACCATACTCTCATTGAATACCAGCGTAAAATAACAGCTTTATGCTGCTGTGTTTCGTATGGTGAGTCTAAAGAACTAGAGGCCTTTTTAACTGGCAACGATATATTCTATCTTAGTCTTCATGGGTGACAAAGCAACTATATTTCGATCCTTAGGAGATAGATGTAGATCTTTGGGTCATAGCATCCACTTACCATCGATTTGACTATATGTTCGTTTGTCACCTTTATTATATAAAAAAACGTTCTCCAGTTATATATATGGTGTCATCACTCACCATACAAAAGACAAAAAGCGACAGTAGCCTAATGGCAGGGCGCTAAAAAAAAAAAGGCGCGCACCGCGAACTCAAAAAGGTTGTGGGTTCGAATCCACCATTCGACTACTGGCGTGAACCACTCGTAACACAATTTAAGCTTACCACGAGTGGTTAAGGGGAATATTAGTAATATTTATAGCATTGTTAATATTCTTTTTTTAAAAATAAAATAAAATAAATAAAAATAAAATAAACAAAATTATGATATTATTTCACTTTGATATTTATAAGGGTCACCGACAGATCATATACAAAATCTAAAAACAAAACATAAACATGGTAAGTAACATGAAATGTGCTCACCCAGTTATAGGCAATCAAAGCTAACATAGAGTAATTAAGCGAAAAGTTAAATAACGTAAAATTTTGTAGTGCATTAGCAAAATTGGGTATTCATCAGAAACTAAAAAGCTTTACATTTATCATAATATGAATAACATAGGATTTTTCTTCTGAAAATATTTAAATTGCGTTATGTGAGACTCTCTCTTGTTTAATTCTAAACTTATGAACCTCATAGAAAGGGGACTAAATTTCAAGGATGCTCCGAACTAAACTGTTAAAGAGTAGTAGTATTTCGTGCATGGTCCCTCGAGCCGACTATATCTTTCTACAGTCATAAAACGTTGCAGTGCGACAAACCAACATAAACACAACAGAAATCATAAAGAGTTAAAAATACCTGTCCATCGTCCCGGTCGTCCGACTTCCAGTTCTGATTATAGTACTGGCCTCCAGCACCTTGACCACTCGCAACCTGTGACCATGTATTTAAAAAAATTAGTAGGTATTATTTCGGGCGATTGAAGTTAAGCTTATTAAAATTAAGATGTCGACACATGTCTGAAATATCATCTATCAAATCGAGAGTAAAGATTTTATTCAAGCGAAGCGTAGTATTCAAGTATTTGTTGTAGTGTGGCGACCGTAGACAGAGAAACCTATAGACAAAATGACGCGTTCCGTCGCATTCGCACACGAAAAAGATAGATTTATGCATACGTCTTGCATAGAAATGAGTAAGAGAGGTGTGATTTTTTGTCCCTTTCTCCGTGCCGTTTTTTTTTTAACTTTGACAGTTCGTAGCGATCTAAGGAGTTTGCAAGTTTGTTTAAGTGAGAATAAAATTGGTTTGTGAGGTTAAGATATGTGAATCTTGTTCAGTTCATTTCTTAGAACAATTAAATTTTTTATCTAAATATGTTTAAAAGTCATAAAGATTATTGTATAACCTAAAACTACGTTATCGTCCTTTCTCACTCGAGGCCACGCTAATCATTAGTCTATAGGTTTCTCTGTCTACGGTGGCGACTATATTAGTTTTGGACTTTTACATGCTGATATAAACTGTATTATCTATGGTAAACGAAACATAATCGCAACAAATAGCTAACAACCTGCTCATATGTTTTATTGTTAATACAAAGAGAAAGTATCATGGTTTAGATGTTGACTGGACGATATATTTTATTATAAATTGGATTTATAATAAGCTTTTAAATCAATGAGGATAATTTTTCTGCAGCCAGGGCGACGCCACTTTACAATGAGGTGAAGTATTTAACAGATTTTATAGCGGGAGAATATAATTTCCTCGGAAAATGTAAAGGTTAATAATTCTTTCTGTGACCCTGCGAAGTGACAAGGTCAAAGATGCCTACTAAATTTATTGTTTTATTGCCGTTCGTAAAGTAGGGTAGATATGAATTAAATTTCTATAGATTTTAACTAATTAATTTATTTAATTTAAAATTTTTGTTTTTATTTTATGTAAAGTATCAGTGCCATAGGCTTCTACTCCGTTCACATATCACCCACTTTTTTTTTCAGATGGTAAAAAAGGTCATCCAGTACACATACACTGGGGCGCAACGACCAGTATTAATATTGTCATGAACGCTTTTTTTTAATTTGACTTACCTGATTCTGTCCTTGTGTCCACTGTTGATCGGTTTCAGTCTTCTGATGGTTGTACTCCTGTTGGGCCTGGTACTGCCGTTTCTGTTGCTCGTATGCGTTCTTATAGTAATTGTCTGCATGATTTAAGAGCAGACTTTTTAAACTTTATTAGTGACTCACACTAAAAAAGAAAGATGGACGGAGCACTATCACTACGCATATTTTAAGCGACCCCAAAGCCAAGTCAAAACCACGCTTTTCTTTACTTAACTTAGGGGTCATCCATAGACATTTTATCATGGTCCATAATTTCAGAATAAAACCAGAATATACTTTATACATGTATTTAAACATAATATTTTAAACATTTTAAGATTCTTTATAGGTACTAAAAATACACGTGATTTTGGGTGGAGGGGGGGTTAGTCTTAAACCTCACCACGCACCACGGAGAGGGGGGGGGTTGAAATATTAAAAAAATCACGTGATTAATGGACGGCTCCTTACAGTAGTGTTCGTTTCCTCGCGTCGTCTCTTACGAGAAACAGAGGAAAATATGAGGTAGTGGATATTCTGGCACTGCTACTACACGGTTTGATTACCACGATCAGTAATAAGAAATAGACCTGCTAGTAAATCTATTTCCCTCTCTCTCTCACACTCACTTTAGCACTTTTCTCATAACATTAAGGTAATTTTTGAAGAACTATCACAGAATACCAGCGTAAAATAGTAGTTTAATGATGTGTGTTTGTATGGTAAGTGTAGAGAACCGAACACCCTTTTTATTGGCAATGAGGCATTCCATCTTAGTTCTCACGGCTGACAACGCATCTGCATTTTGATTCGCAAACGAGGATAGATGTAAATGTCTAAGGGACAAAAAAATATAGCGTTATTTAGATTTTAAAATAATCAAAGGCCATTTATTTTATTAAATTATCGTCTTAAATATCTCCAAGTTTATCGGATAAAATATAGAATAGCTTTTTTCTGGTATTACTCTCTATGTGTTCTTAGAAAGTACTCTGTGATCTGTTCTTAGAAAGTACTCTGTGATCTGTTCGTGAAGATGCATTACAATCGGTTTAGTTATTCTAAAGATTAGTGAAAAGATTATAGACAGATAGACAAAACTTAAATATAGTTATTTATGTGTTTATATTTATATTATGCTTCTTTATTTCTATTTTGTGGCTTATAATAAAAAATAATGTTATTTTTTTCGCCAAACCACACACATGTTTTTATTGTTTTCCTGCAATCCTGTCCATACAAGGTTGTCTGGAAGAGATATCTTAGCGATAAGCCCATTGTACCACATTTGTATCTCTTGTTTTTTGTTGATATTAATGTTTTTTTGGCGTGCAATAAAGTGTTATCTATCTATCTACCTATCTGTTTGACACGCACATAGCCCCCTCAGCTCTATATAAGCCAGTTATTCCGATATCGTTGACAAACTCTTAAGTTTTATTTACTTGTGTAGATTACCTGTTGTATGCGACTGCTCTGGAACAGGGCTCTGTGGCAGATGACTTCCTTCTAGAATCTGAAAGATTAATAATTACTTTACGTGCGTAAGCAGTATTGAGATTTATACAAATACAAAAAATATCTTGGGCAGTGCTTAGGGCATAGTATGGGCGGCTACAGCTCGGACCTGGGAGCCCCTTCCCCTCAGCTTTCGTTAGTCTCTTAATAACATAAAATCTGTTAAAGTCCTTTATAATAATAATAATGTCCTCCAGACCGAATTTCGGTCAGGTGGTCTGCCTCAACGGAGACTAGCCATCGGCACAGGACAGGATTATAGTGCCCAAGTGTATGTGCAAGAACAGGTTCACTCTCTATTCCCTCACTCTTATAATCCGATGGGACGGTAAACCGACACGACCGGAGAGAGATCAGGCGCAGGAACAATGGTTTTACATGCTTTCCGAGGAATAAGGGTGAGACACCGCCAACTTCCTGACTCCGGACAGCTACTGAGAATTTCTTAATGGAATACTCAATAACTGATATTTTTTGGCCCGCCCGGGGATTCAAACCCAGGACCTCATGACCAGCAGTCGCACTACCACAACCACTAGACCAACGAGGCGAACAAAAAAAAAGTATTTTATAATGATTGTATTTCAACTAAATTATAACAAAACAATAAGACTTCGGTGCCGTGGTAGCTCAGTGGTTAACGCTCGCTGTAAATATAACAGAACGCGAGTAACCCGGGTTCGATCCCCGCCGGCACCAATGAAATTGTTAATTGCAATTTTAAGTGTTGATTTACCACGTGCTCGGCGGTGAAGGAAAACATCGTGAGGAAACCTGCACGTCTGAGGAATAAGAAAAAAAAAATATTTCGAAGACATGTGAAGTTCGTCAAGACGCATTTGGGCAGCGCGGCGGGCACTTCCTTGCCCTAAACCCTCTCAGAAATGATTGGCTTTACTTTTACTTTTAATAAGACTTCAGCTCCGGAATTTCAGTTATGGTGTAACTCCGGAGTTTCGATATATTACGAGATTGTTTGGTAAACCGGTGTGGTCGTGAAAAAAACCGAAGTTTAAATTTTAATTATTAAAAATATTTTTGAGTGCGGCCCTTTTTTTATAGGATAGGATGACAAACGAGCACACAGTCCACCTGATGGTAAGTGGTTGCTGTGGCCCATAGACATCTACATATATCCTCGATTACGAATCAAAATGCAGATGCGTTGTCATCCGTGAGGACTTAGGTGGAACGCCTCGTTTCCAGTAAAAAAGGGGTCTCCGGTTCTCTACACCATACGAAATACAGCAGCATTAAGTTAATATTTGACGCTGGTATTCTGTGAGAGCGTGGTCTTTCCCCGGTCGAGCCGACCCATTCGTGCTACAACTAATTAAACTTTTTAATTAAAACTTAGCTTGAATCGTAATGTGTCTGTGATCTATTAAAGTTTTTATTGAATTAATTGAAGCTCATTGAGTGATAGTGAGAGAAACTAAAACAGGAGAAAGATGGCAGCATCTTTTTGATAACAACTCAAAAAAACAAAACTGCACTTGCCAATCCGCCTATCAAACGTAGCAACTTTAACAAGGAGAGCTGGTGATAATCCACGCAGAAGGCCCATGTTCAGCAGTGAAGTGATAGGCTGTTACAATGAGGAGCAGCTAGAACTACACTGCTACCACTGGAACGCGCTCAAAGAGCTGTATTAAAAGTCACAACATTCCGCCCTACCCCATTCCCGTCTCATCCCTTATGGCGGCTGTACACGCTCGTCGAGACACCACGAAACAGGCCGAGTACGAGTGTGTACACTCTAGTCGCGTCGCGTCTCCTAGCCCTCGTGCGCTCTCGGAAGCGTGTCGGTATTTTGCGCTCGGGTCAAAGGGTCTCGTGAGTCTCGCGATGAAAATGAGAGCGTACTATATTATATTCACCGTACATGGTTCAGTTACGGTAAATAGAAACCATCCACCATCTTCTTCTTCGCCGTGGCTTATTAATTTTATTTTTATGATAAATGTATAAAAAGTTATAATAATTAATAGCACAAAGGCAAAACGCAGCAACAGTTTCATCTACTTCCATCTCAGCGGCCATACGGAGCTCAAATGATACAACGAGTGTGTACATGGGGTGTTCTTGTGTCGAGCCTCAACATGACGAGAGGCACGCGAGGCGACGAGACAGCCACAGCCGGCATTATATAAATACTATAATGTCCTCTCAGTGCGCCAGTTATTCGTTATGAGTAAGTTACTAAAACAGCACTTAAAATTACCTAACAAAAGAGAGGTCACTGATAAAAGACGCAAAGAAAAAGTAATTGAAACTAACATTAGGATACGGCATTCTTTCATGCATAAATTTTTTACATTCCTTGGCCCTTTTCTGTATAATCAAGTCAATGCAATTTTGTACATATATTCATAAAAAATGGCAGACTGTAAAAATGTAATTCGAACATGGTTACAAAATTTGTACGATGATGATACGATACGATGACACGAAGTTGCTTACCGTTTTAAGTTAATTAATATCGTAAATAAATTAGTGACAATATATTTTGCCGAAAAAATCAAAGATAAAATACTAAGATGACGCACGGAATAGCGGAGTTAGCCAACTTAACTTACTGCAATAGAACATAAAATGTATAAGAATGACACCACGCTCTCATAGAACACCAGCGCAAAATAGCAAATTAATGGTGCTGTGATTCGTATGGTGAGTGTAGAGAACCTGAGACCCGTTTCACTGGAAATGAGGCATTCCATCTTAGTCTTTATAGGTGATAACGCATCTGCGTTTGATTCTTAATCGAAGATAAATGTAGGTGTCTATGGGCCACAGCATCAACCTTCCACCATTTTTTTATAGAATAAGGGTGATCATCGAGCACACGGAGCGGCTGATGGTAAGTGGGTGCTATGGCCCATAAACATCTACATTTATCTTCGATTAAGAATCAAACGCAGATGCGTTATCACCTCTGAGGACTAAGATGGAATGCCTCATTTCCAGTAAAAAGGGTCTCCGGATCTCTACACTCACCATACGAAACACAGCAGTACTAAGCTGCTATTTTACGGTGGTACTCTCTGAGAGCGTGGTCCTTCCCCGGTCGAGCTGGCCCATTTGTGCTACAACCATAATATAGTTGCAGCGTGACTTTCCTACGTTTAAAACACAATATATTAATACACTTAAAATATATTATTACTGTAAAAAGTTCGGAGTGAATTCAGAGGGAATGTCACCCATCTGAAAGTACCCAACAACGTGAATATCCTATCCTAAATGAGTAATAAACTATCGCGTCGACAATACAAACAGGTACATTGTACGAATACGACCTTAATTCCTACATCACTACCTTCCATTCATACATCACAGCCTATGAAAGTCCACTGCCGAATATAGGCCTCTCCCATAGATTTCCTCTTTGGGAGGAGTCCATCATAGTTAACACGCGTGGCGAGCGGGTTGTCGTCCGCAGTTTTTTTTTATTATTTTAAGTTATCTGAAACATGATGGCCATCCCGTGTGTCGTAAGAGGTGACAGAGGGAATCTGTCGCCTCTTACGATACCCATGGTAAGATATGGGGTAGTGGATATTCTCACACCTCTACTACAAGGACACATTTGAAAATACCTGGAAGCCTTCCTTTCCCGCACGATACTTCAGTTTCACGAGCTGACCATTCGGGTCCTTGTACTGGTAGGCGCCCACCCTCGAGCCATCGGGTTCTATCACTTCACCGGCCGCCAGTCCGTTGTCTGAAGCGTACTCGAAGCGGAAACTGCCCTCTGTTGACATAAGATTACAACCGAATACTTATAGAATCTGAGCGCTAGTTATAAGCGATTTTTCAAGACATGTGACAGGAAAACAAGTAGTTGTACGGTTGAAATCCGTGCCAATTACTGTACTGGTGAGAGTAAGTTAAAAAAAAACAGCGTTCTTTCAATGCTAAGATAAACCCTATTAAGGCGACACCCCGACCAAAACCTTGCGTTTTTCAGAGACTATTATCTCAAAAGTTACGAAATATAAACTACATAAAGAAGCACATTATAAATGTTCGATATCCTATCGTCACATTTCATGTTCTAATTTGTTTTTATGTGTTATAAGTACATTTAAAATCTACTTTTAAAAAATGACTAAAATTATTGATTACATGCATCTGTAGCTAAAGGCAATGCTCTAATCATTTGAGGATTACACTAATAATAGGATAGATAATTAAAATAATTTCAAAAATTTGGGCGTATTTCTTACGCGATATATTGTAGCGAGAGCGGGTGGATGGTTTAGGACCGAACGCTCAAGGACGTTCGCTAGAAGTAGTGCCTTAAGTTAGGCTGGGTCGCAGGAGCTGAAGGCTGTAGACGATGTTTCCTCGGGAACGAATGGAATGGGCCCTTGAGGACAATACCAACAGGCTTGTAGTTGAAGTTTCCTAGGGTTGCAGTTTCGTGTATCTACCAATGTGATTAGAAAAAGGGAAAATAAATCAATTAAAAACTATCTAAATTAAAATAATACGCATCCAATTGGTTGTGCGCTTGTTTGTCATCCACTCTTCTATAAATAGGTCTTGATGGTATCTACTATTTGATATCTATTTATTTAGTATAAATAATATACGTTATAGAGCCACGATACTATAGCTATTTTATAATATCATGGTTGTAGCACTAATGGGTCAGCTCCACAGGGGTAGGACCACGCTCTTACAGAATACCAACGAAAAATAGCAGCTTAGTGCTATGTTTCGTACAGTGAGTGTAGAGAACCGGAGACACTTTTTAACCCCTTAAGTTTAATAAAAGTCTGTTATTTCGATGTTATATCGACAATATATCAATTTTTATATGTGTAAATAGATATATCTTACCTGAAGTTAATGCTTGCTTGTGATGCAATATGGAGGCCTGCTGCTCCTTATTCGTACCGTAAGGCTGCTTCCATGGTTCCGGTGCTTAAATCATAAATATTTTGATTGTATTCTTAAAGCTAGCAATCATCTTTTATAAGCACAATAACGATCCGTTCAGGCTTAGCCCGGGTAATTTATGAATCTCGACAACAGCACCACCTATAAGTTCCAACAATAACTAGGATCTGTCCAAGTAACCCCATAAGTACCCAATAAGAATTTCATCAAAATCGGTCACTCAGTTTAGGAGTTAAAGAAGAAAAAGGAGGCGGAGGACAGTTACGAGGATTTTATGTCATCCATCCATCTATTATAGTCTATAAAAATCCACTGCTGAACATAGGCCTCCCTTATAGATGGCCTCAAAGAAGGATATTGCCATAAGGTACGTGATGGCAATGTGGTCACCTTAAGCTTTGCCGCCCTATAAAACCAAAACTAGGAGAAGGATAGAGACAAAAACACATCGTCGTATACTTTAATTAATTTATTAAGAAAAAAAAATAGCAAACAAGTTTTAGCAATAATTAGAAAAACTTCGAAAAATCTACTTAAAAGAACTAAGTACACTAAAACTAAGTAAAAAATACTAAAAAAAATCGTATCACAAAGATATATATATATATATATATATATATATATATATATATATATATATATATATATATATATATATATATAAATGTCCTCCAGACCGAATTTCGGTCACGGCGGCCAGCCTAAGCGGAGACTGGCCATCGGCGCAGGACAGGATTATAGTGCCCAAGTGTATGCGGAGAGAGATCAGGCGCAGGACCAACGGCTTTACGTGCTTCCCGAGGCACGGGGCTGAGACACCGCCAACTTCCTGACTCCGGGCAGCTATTGCGAATTTCTGGACGGACCCCCAGGACCTCATGATCAGTAGTCGCACTACTACAAACACTAAACCAACGAGGCAGTCGTTGATCTTACGGCGCCTCTACACGTTGGCCAACACAGTGGCGAATGTAGTGGCCAATAGCATTGGCCAACGTGTAGAGCGGGTGTTTGGGCTTCATTGGTACGTATTGGAACGATGGCCCACAAGTTGGTGCGAGATCCGTCTGGTGTCGGTTTTTTACAAAAGATCAAAGGATTGTTGGCAGAGTTTGATCGCTGCGTCCAAACGTTGGCCGCGCGTTTAGTTTGCTGCTACAAGCTCCCAGAGTGATTACACACATCTGATTTAAATTTTATATTCACGCTTTGTAGGGTGGATGCCCCAATTACCAGCCTTTTTGGGCTCAACTTTAAACATTCCTACCACTTTAATTATCGCGATTTAATTATTTTTAAACATTTGTTTTAATCCATAAGCTATTTATCAAAAAAAATAATGAACATTTATTTACAATCAGATTATTACGAGAATAATTTTAAAATGAAAAAAAAACATGAAACACGTTGGTTGCGCGGAAAACCATTCGCGTTTTTTATTTTTGACGGTAGGAACTTGTAGAATCATTATTTCCTTTCCAAACAATATCATTCGTACCCTCCTATCGACACATCGGGGTGGTGGGGTGGGAGGGGAAAGAAGACGATTCTAGAACATCGCGTAATCACCCGAGCCGAGGATATATAAGACACGCGCGACCGATGCGCGAGCCTCTTCTCCCGCCGCAGTCGTCGTTGAACTACAACCTCCTCTTCCCGCGCGCTCGTTTGGAAATACCTCACTAGTGGAAACCGCTTTGGCCTGGAAGCAGTCGAGCTCCAGGAACCCGCCTCACCTCGTGTGAGATATCGTCGCGCACCGCCTCTCTCCGGAGTGTTCCAGAAGTCGCTATAGTGATCGACAGGAAGAAGAAACCCCGGTGAGTCAATATTCCTTAATTATACCTGCTTGCTAATAATTTAACCCGCTCCAATCTGTGTTTTTTTCCTAGTCAAGCAGGATTCCTTTCATCGATTCGACAAGTAATAGTTTAGTTTAGGGAAGAGCGAGTGCATTGTACCGCATGCTATAGTAGTCGCCTTATGTAAGCGTAGAAGCAATCGCATATACAGTCCACTTTAGTTAATATCTCGCGTAATAGGTTTGAGGTTTGACCGGGGAACTAGATTTTCGGCAGCCTTAAACACGTGGCTCCACCATTTTATGGTCACTTCGGCAGGATCTGGATTGGTGTTTAGTGGTTATCCAACCATTTTCTGGTCGAATTATTAAATTAATTGTTTAGATAACGCACTCTAATTTATGGAATAGACTTAAATAGTGTTCGTTTAAATTAAAATTTTGATTTGTTACTCGCAAACAGAATTATTCATTTAATAGCGCTCGTATTTGGTTAAATTTAAAGCTTATTAAATAATTGAAACGGCGTGATAGCAACCGTTTGATACGCTTACCCCACAATTTTATAAAATTATTAGGTTTAGCAAACGACGCGTAGCCTTGACTGCATCGGGCGCTCGATCTGATTACGTAATACAGCACGCCGAGTATTCATCCTACGTCGTTTATGCGTGTGAGATTAATTGTGATTAATATAACTTTATTATAATAATTTAAAATGGCAGTTAGTGGAAGTGAAATCAAAATTAAAACGCTTTATGCCAAGAGGGACATACTCTTTTCGCGTGTGCAAAATATAAGTGATTATATAAAGAACATTCATATAGAGGCAGTACGGGAGGCCTTTTTTAAATGAAATCGAAACGATAGATAATTTGCGGACAGATTACGAAAGAATATTAGACCAAATTAATCATTCGGAACTACAAACCGACCCGAAATACATAGTGAACTACCAACCGCTGCTGGCATTCGAAGATATGTTGTGTCGCGTGAAGAGAACCGCAAAATTGCTACAATCTCAAGGTGAAGCGAAGCCTGAAATGCAGGTACGCCCTCGTGACTCAATTAGGTTACCGCCAATAGATATTCCGGTATTCAATGGTGATATTAAGACGTGGCCCTTCTTCTTCAGTAGTTTTCAAAACAATATACACAACAACCCATCGTTATCGGACGCTGAAAAATTATATTACTTAATTAGCAAACTTAGTGGCAGAGCACAGTCGATCTGCTCGGGTTTTACACCTACAGCAAACAATTACGTATTAATATTTGAAACGCTTAAAACTAAATATGAAGATAGGAGAATGTTAGCTTCCGAATATTTGAACCAGATATTCGATCTTAAACCTATATCATCCGCGAACATCAACGGCTTAGAGCAGTTTCTCGATAAATTTGTGGCATCGGTGGCTGCACTTAAGAATTTGAAGTTTGATGACCTTATGGACGTGGTGTTTCTCCATATAGCATTAAAGAAATTAGACTCCGACACCGTGCGTGCGTTTGAAATGGAGCATCGTAGCTCGGAGATGCCTTCCTTTCATTCATTAGCATCGTTCGTGCGAGATCAAATAAAGGTGATGCAGCGCTCACCGAACGTTAAACAGGAGATTAAAAGGTGCGCCGACCGTAGACAGACTCAACCATCTAAAATAGCAGGGTCGTTAACTTACGTAACCGCTACGCCGACATCACTCCAGCATACTTGTATAGTATGTACCTAAAGATAAACACGGTAACTTATATAACTGTGCGACTTTTCGTAAATATTCACCAAGCGAACGTTATAAGTTAGTAAAGACAAACAACCTATGTTTGAACTGCTTAAGCGATAAGCATTTAGTTGCAAAATGCAATTCGAGTTCCGTATGTAGCAAGTGCGCCAGGAAACATCACACGCTATTACATTTTGAAAATAGCAACATAGCGGCGTCAAGTAAGGCGAATAAGGAATTCACCCCTACTAAGGTCAACGATTCTAGCGGTCGACCTGGTGATGTCGCTCTGTGCTCATTGGCAAATATGGGAGCACAACCTCCTTCAACCGTGTTACTGGGTACGGCGCGTATTTTGGTTAGGGATTCGCGTGGAAACAAACAAAGCGTCCGTGCACTGCTGGACAGCGGAGCCCAAAATAGCTTTATAACACGACAATGTTGTCAGCGCTTAGGATTAGTAATAAATAGGTCACTATCATGTCCTGTAGTTAAAGGCATCGGAGGTACTAGTAAAGCGACACAGGGATATATAAATTTAAAATTTTATTCTCGGATAGATCGTAACGTTAACTTTGATATAAATGCACTAGTAGTAGATAGGGTCACTGAACGGTTGCCAACCGTTTCGGTTGACACCTCGGCAATGATTGAATTTAAAAATTTGACTCTAGCAGACGATACTTACGCCGTTCCTGGAAACATAGACATGCTCATTGGGGCATCGCTTTTCCCTCATCTTTTGTTAAACAATAAGGTCAGGGGCAACTCCTCGCATACCGCGCCTTACGCACTGGAAACCGTATTGGGCTATGTGATCCTTGGCTCCGCCCCCATCCTAGATAGTATTTCGGCAGCCTCTTATTGTGGTATGGCTGTCGAACCGCTCGAGTCGTTAGTCCGCAAATTTTGGGAGATGGAGGAGGTGAACGTCCCACCCATAGCTAGTTCAGCTGACAGGATATGCGAGGAAATTTACGTCCGCACGACCGTTCGTGATCGCGACGGTAGATATAGTGTAGCGCTACCCTTTAAGGGAGATGTTTTATCTCTCGGCGATTCGCGTCAAATGGCGGAAAAACGTTTCTACAGCTTGGAGCGTAGGATGCTCGCTTCGCCCCAGTTAAAGGAAGCTTACGACGGCGTCATTAACGAATATATAAGAGAAGGTTACATATCACTTGTGGCTTCGAAATTAGATAACTACGAAGACACACCGTCGTATTTTATACCACACCACGGAGTCATTAGAGAGGACAAACTTACATCTAAATTACGTGTAGTGCTCGACGCTAGTGCTAAAACTAGCACTCACCTGTCGCTTAACGATATCCTCTATAGTGGGCTAAATTTACAGTGCAGTTTATTTGATATAATAGTCAATTTTCGTTTGTTTAGTATAGCACTATCCGCCGATATTCGCCAAATGTTTCTTTGCATAGGGGTCCGTGAATGCGACCGTAAATTCCAGCGCATTTTATATCGTTTCAACCCAAAGGAAC